CATAACTTTTCTTCAAAATTCCAATTGACAATGTATTGAAGAGTCTGATTGACTAAACATGTTTCTCTGAAAAAGCTGCTTTCCCACTCAGGTGTGTGGAGATTGAGCAACATGGAAGGAGAGAGTTTCTGTTCCTATCTGTGTAACTGTCTCACAGTGAACCAGACATTGGTGCCTGCATATTGAATGACTCCTGATAGTCAAATTGCCTAACAATAGTTATTACCCAGAGGCCAGGGCACCAGCTGCAGGTATTCAGCAACTTCAGTGCATCAAGGGACATGAACTTGTTCATGCATTCAATCTGGAAATACATATTATGTGCCTACTGTGTGCAAGACACTGTTATAGGCACAGAATACAGAGATGAACAAGACAGACAAAGGTTACCTGGGGGCATGCTCCTTACATTCTAGTGGGAGAAAAGAGACAATGAACACAAACCAATAGGTAATTTTACATTGTGATGAATACTATGAAGGAAAAATAAATACAACGAGGTAATTGTGAATGGGGAGGGGGTGGCATTTTCAAAAGAGTTGACAGGGAAGGCTTCTCTGAAGAAGTGATATTGAGTAGAGTCCTAATGATGTGAAGGGGTGAGAAATGGTAAGATCATGACATCACTGGCTTCTTAGGAAATAACACATGGCAGAGGAAAAGAAATAAAGGATGGTGGAGGAAAATGATTAATCAGGAAAAAACAGTAAATTCAGTTTTTCATGTTGAGAAGGGAAAAGAGACAAAATTTGCTGATGATACAGTCAAAAGATTCATTATAACAAATCATTCCAGGCTCCTTCAATAACAAACTAGGGCCACAATAAAGGATATGAGTTTTACCCTTCTCTCTTTCCTTTGGTCTGGTAGAGACTGCCTTGCCTGACATATAAGTGGCCACCTACAGGGTTGTGTAGGATTTCCACTTCCTGAAGATTCTCCAACTCCTCTCTCAACCCACTATTCCACTCTAATACCAGGAATTCCCATAATTATACCTCCTTTGGGATTACAGCATAAAAAGCCCCTGTTAAGACTTAAAAGTTTTCTGGGATTTGCTAAAACATCCTCATCAGTCATCACACTTCTGTAAGGAAATGGTTTCTTAATTTCATAGTTTTGGAGGGCTCAGGACAGGAGCATACCCACTGCGAAGTGGGAATGGCCAGAAATGACTTCAAGCATGGCTTGCTTCCCTGAAAGGAAATGAAAGTAAGTGAACATGGAGTGACCAGAAAGCACCTTCAGTTGGAGATTTAATGAGGAGGATATTCCCAAGTAAGTAGTTCAAGAGACACACTGTTTACACCAGGAGCGTCAAACTCATTTTTACCAGGGGCCACATCAGCCTCATGGTTGTCTTCAAAGGGCTGAATGTAATTTCAACTCCTAAATGGTTAAGGAGTAGTTATATTTACACAGTCTTAAAATTATTATGGCCCTTCAAAGGCAATCTCCAGGCTGATGTGGTCCCCGGTGAAAATGAGGTTGACACCCCTGGTTTATACTTAACAATTTCAAGTGCCAGCCAGTGTTGGATCAGGAATGGATTTTGTTGTTTATAGATTCCTTCCAATTAGTGAATTAAGCACTTGGAGGGGAAGGGGTTTTTGTATAGATGACTCTTCAGGACACTGGAAGAATTTTTAGCATATTATAGGTACTTCCAGTACCATCACAGATTTCATAATGCAGTTACAGCCATAGCTAGTATTAAGCTGGTGAGCAAAATTTAACAAATGAACTCAGCTCTCATTCTGAGGGTGACAATTATATACATAGGAGTCCCTGTACATTTAGTGATCTCCTCGCCCTTCACCCACTTAAATATGCTAGCACACCCCTTAAATACCTAATATATCACCTTTTTTATTTTTTAAGTATACCAGGTCTTCTTCTCTTAATTTTTTTATTATTTTTAATATATTTTTATTTTACTGATTATGCCATTACATTTGTTCTATTTCCCCTCTTCATTCCCCTCCACCCTGCACACCCCTCTACCACCATTCCCCCCCATTTTAGTTCATGAACACGTGTCTCAAGTTCTTTAGATTCTATATTTCCCATACATTCTTACCCTCCCCCTATCTATTTTCAATCTGCTGTCTATGCTTATTTTCTGTACCTTCTCCCCCCTTCTACTTCTCCCACTCCCCTGTTGCTAATCCTCCACGTGATCTTCATTTCTATGGTTCACTCCTGATCTAGCTGTCCACTTAGTTTGCTTTTGTTTTAGGTGTGGTTCTTAATAACTGTGAGTTTGCTGTCCTTTCATTGTTCCTCTTTTTTATCCTCTTTTTCTTAGGTAAGTCCCTTTAACATTTCATATAATAAGGGCTTGATGATGATGAAATCCTTGAATTTGATCTTATCTGAGAAGCACTTTATCTGTCCTTCCATTCTAAATGAAAGTTTTGCTGGATAGAGCAATCTTGGACATAGGTCTTTGGATTTCATGACTTGGAATACTTCTTTCCAGCCCCTTCTTGCCTGTAAGGTTTCTTTTGAGAAATCAGCTGACAGCCTGATGGGCACCCCTTTGTAAGTGACTGTCCCCTTATCTTTTGCTGCTTCTAGGATTCTCTCCTTCATTTTAATCTTGGCTAATGTAATGATGATGTGCCTTGGTGTGTTCCTTCTTGGGTCCAACTTCTTTGGGACTCTCTGAGCTTCCTTGATGTCCTGGAAGTCTATTGCCTTTGCCAGATTGGGGAAATTCTCCTTTATTATTTGTTCAAATCAGTTTTCCACTCATGGCTGTTCCTTCTCCCCTTCTGGTACTCCTATAATTCGGATGTTGGAGCATTTAAAGATGTCCTGGGAGGTTCCTAAGCCTTTCCTCATTTTTTTGAATTCTTGTTTCTTCATATTTTTTGTTTGGCCATTTTTTCCTTCCTTCTGGTCCACTCCCTTGATTTGAGTCCCAGGTTCCTTTTCATTACTATTGGTTTCCTGTACATTTCCATTCATTTCAATTAGTTTAGCCTTCATATGTTCCTCTAATTTGTGACTAAAATCAACCAGTTCTGTGAGGATCCTGATCACCAGTGTTTTGACCTGTGCATCTGACAGTTTGGCTATTTCTTCATCGCTTAGATTTATTGGCTCTGAGTTGTTCTTGAGCCATGTTTTGATCTGTTTGTGCCTGTTACATATGAGGAGAGGCGCCTTAGATGTTCACCTGGGCGGGGCGACCCAGTTGCTGGGTTGTGATGCTGTATGTGGGGGTGGGGTCAGAGAGGGAGCAATGGCAGTCCTCTCTGCTTGCCCAGCTCGCCTCACCATTTGCCCCCGCCCGTTTATCTGAGCGCAAATGTGCAAGCCCGCAGCCCTGCGCAGGCGCCTGCGTGGTCTGTCTTAATGCTCGTCTCTTCACTGGTTTATCTGTGCGCAAATGCGCAACCACAGATAGCAAGCCACGCTGCGCCTTCCCTGGGTCCACCCGTAGCTACCCCACACCTGGGATCCGCGCCCTTGGCTGCTTGCGCTCCGCCTGGGTCAGTGGATCTTTTTTGCTGGAACCCACTCCGCTGCTGGCTTCTCCCCTCTCACCGGTTTAGCTGAGCAGTCCATTGTTTTCGGACTCCGTATTGTTCGATTTTCTGTGGTTTGGTTGTGTTTATTGTTGTTAAAACTTTGTTGTTTTTAGATTTGGTTGTGCGAGGAAGCAGTGTTTCCACCTACACCTCCATCTTGGCGGAAGTCCTATATCACCTTTTTTAGAATGGCCTACTGAGTAATTGAGTAACTAAAAAGAAGGTCTAAAGAAGAAAGGAATATTGATATAGGATAATCTACAAATTGAGTAATCCAGCCTGCAATCATCAAGAGAAGATTTGGTTTTGTCCTCACTGTGCCAATATGGTGGTGGGAGTGGGAAAGATAACCAGGTCAGTAAGAGACATGCAATAGGAATTTGATTACAACCTCCAGTCCAAATGTGTCCTAGTGGCTAACAGTGATCTTCCTAATTAGTCACAGATCCAAAGTACTCAACATTCAACTCTTTTATCAGATACTTTTACAAATGATTTCTGCACTTATTCAAAATTTTCAGAGTGTCCATGGTTTCTCTTTGTTGTTCTGGGTTTGAGTGTACATTTTAAATACACAGCTGAGGAGGGCACTGAGGGGCCAGCAAAATAACTTACTCACAAATAACCAACCAAGAGAAACTTTTCTTGGTAAGGGGCTGAGTAATGAGGAAGGTAGAGTAGAAAGATGAATATCAGGAGGTGGTACCTTTATGCCTGGAACCTGAAATCCAAGTTTAATTTATACTTTAAATGATCCATAGTTGAGAGAGTTGACCAATATTTTTGTGTCTCCCAATCATTCATTTGGCATAGCATGCTATATGACTAATCTGACATCTAGTTTTGGGCAGTGGTATTGAGTTGGTACTATCATTCCCCCTACAAACAAATCAAAAAGCATTCAGAAATTTCAAGCCAATTTGGATAGATTATTTGGGCAAGTATATACACATAAATGTGTGTTATAGATGTTTTCTAAGTGTAAGTGATGTTAGTGAAGTTAACCGAGGCCCTGTTTCAGACCATTCCCTGTGTCTCTGTTGGTAACACTGAGCTAGGCAGATCATAATCCTGATCCAGCATGGAAAATCCTATGTTCCCTTAATTGCCTAAGAGATTTGTACCTAGCCACATTCTTCCTCCTCATAGAGGTCTGCTTCTTATGGGGTGATTGGTGGATCCACTTTAGTTTGTGGGCCAGTGTTTTGCAGAACTATGGATTCTGCCACCATGTGGACTTAAATTAAAGGTCATATGCTCCTTTGTGATTTGGTGGCTGTTATAGGGACAGCCTAAGCTGACACAGTGAAATATGGGTGTAACTTCTCTGTAAGAATATTTTTGTTGATTGTTCACTTTTGATAAGTATGTGGTGTTACAAACAATGAGATGCATAAATGCAGAAGTTTCCTTCTAATTTTGGAAAACAGTGATGAAACTCTACCTGCTTCCTGATTCTAGAAGAACTTCCAGGCCAAAGCTTTGACAGCAAAGGCTACTTCTGTGGAGAAGAATCAATGCCCATATATGAGGCCGTGTTCATGGAGGATGGGGAGACTACCAGAAAAATAGCACTGGAGACAGAGAGACCACCTCAGGTCGAGGTCCATGTTTGGACCATTCGAAAAGGTGAGCAAAACAATTAATTTTTGTTTGTTTTTTGTAACGTGGACACAGGTAAGGAGGAGAGAACTCACCTTAATTTTGGTTCAACTTTTTACTCTGTTTGGATCAGAAGATGTGTTGATTGCTTAGAAACTAACATATGACTAATACAGTTGTTATTATGGCCTTTAACTTTAACCTTAGCTTGATCTAAAAAGTAACCATTGACCCTTGGGGTTTGTTGTCTTTCTTACATAACCAGGGCTAGAGGAGTGGTTCTCAACCCTGGCTGCACATCAGAATCATCTGGGAGATTTTTTTTAAATACCAAATGCCTGGGCCTACCCCCAAAGATTCTGACTAATTGGTTTGGAGTGGGGCCTGGGCGTAAGTGGTTTTTAAAGCTCCACAGGTGATTCTAGCATGTGGTCAGGATTGCAGACTATCAAACTGTAATTTACCATTCTTTTCAACACAAAACTCCACAAACATGAAAATCTATTCATTTGGTAGGAAGCAAATTTTCTTGAATCATGCTATGTACTCTGGGGTAAAACAAGCTGAAAACATCATCCCTACCCTCAAGATTATTATCTTAATGTAAGAACAATGCCAGTCATGTGGTCCAATGCCTTTTTTGATTATTCACATTACTACATAAAGCCACATTGTGCTAACTATAACCCTACAGCTATTCAAACCATTCCATACATGAAAGACAAGTACTGATCTAGTCTGGTCAAGTTTTCTAGGAATCCAAATGTAGAGGTGAGATCAATTGGAAACTCATGCACATGTTTTCTTCTACTGGAACCTGCATAAGGCTCAGACTTTAGTATGTTTCAGCATCATGCAAGGAGGTGGTTTAAAATGCAGCTCCCCACCCCTACCCATGAAATGTGACTTCAGCAGCATTGTGCAGTTCTAAACTTTTGAATTTTTAACCAGTAGCCAGGTGATTGTAATGCAGATGGTACTTGGACCATACTTGGAGAAATAACTACTCTAGTATTTGTGGGATTTTTCTCTCCCTTTGCATTACCACCTTTTGTTCTTGAAAGAGTTCCTCCCTACCCCTTAAAAATATTCTAGAACACAAATATTTCTTGTCCACATTTATTTTTTGCTCTAGAACACAAATATTTCTTGCTAGAACACAAATATTTCTTAAAAATATGCTAGAACACAAATATCTCTTGTCCACGTTTATTTTTTGCTCTATACCTAGGAATGTTGATTTTCAGTCTCTAACTTCCTAGCTCCTCTGTAACTGGCCACCTAGGACTAAGCACTGTTCTGTTGACTTTCCTAGCAGTAGGCACACTATTCATCATGGAACATCTCACATCCCACAAAGCTGTGTGGATGTTTTTCAATTTGCTAATGTAACATCTAAATAATCTTGTTATAGTGCTGTGTAATCCAGGTATGTGCATGGTATGCAAAGGAAAACCCAGGCTTCATTTACGTTGCTCCTTGTAGACCTCTTGAGGATTAGTTAAGCGGGCTGATAACCTGGTTCTCCTTAACTTCAAGGGAACTTTCAGTTGTTTACATGTTATTTTGATAAAAGCTATTCAGGAAATTTTGAGACTATGGATTCCCCTTATTTTAATTATTTTTACTTTTATAAGAAAAATCTAAAGGAGATATGCCTGTTCCTCAAAGGAAAATATACTTTTTGGTGAGTTCAAGAACAGGAATGGCTTCTCCATTTACACAAACAACCTGCTTTCAATACCACTGCTGTCTCTCATTGCTTAGCCAAGAGGACTGCCCATTGGTTTGGCAGGGACGTCATCTACCCAGACTTGGGGCAAGGACAGAATTTCTAATAATGCCTCTGGCTGCAGAAGCTCCAACCAGCACCCATGTTTGATTCTATGTTACTTTCCCTAGGAGGAACTCCCATGGCCAGCAGCACTATTTCCCTTTATTGCTATCCTCTGAAGAACTAGGGGGAGGCCAGTGAGCCAAGAAAACAAATGGAGTTAATTGTAGCACTTGAGCCATCCAAATTCCTGATTAAGCACATTATACAGACCAGCTTAATACTCATAAGTCCCAGTAATAAGATGATATGCTAAGCTCAAACAGGAAAAGAGACTGTGGGTTCCAGATAGAGAGCACCTGACCACCTCCTCCACTTTTTGCTTGGCCCAGGCATCCTCCAGCATTTCCATATTGAAAAGATCTCCAAAAGGATGTTCGAGGAGCTCCATCACTTCAAGCTTGTGGCCAGGACAACCCTGAGTAAGTGGTACCTCTCTTTACTCTTCTGTGGAAAACACATCCAGTTTTCAATGGAGCATAGCCCCAAATAAAGTCCCTCCTGTGTTCTCAGGAAACATTACCAATGTTCAATATCAACATTAGAGGATATTCTGTCTCTCCTTTGGTGACTTAGCAGGAAATGGGTGGGGTGTCTGGATGTGAACTGAAAAGCCTGGACCTGGTGAATACAAATCCAGATGTAGTTGAGCATAGCTATCTCAGATCATGGTTTCCTGAACATCTTTAATGAAATTGCTAAACTCAGAGTCTCAAGATGGTTAAAGAAAGCTCACAAGATTCCAGATCTGGTATAGTTATGGAGACTTCACATTTGGAAGGATATGTCCTCTGGTGGTAGGGATGAGACACAAAAGAGAATGAATGCATATCAATTCCTAAATTGTATCAAAGCTCTGTTTGGGTCTTTGGAACTGCCCCTGTGTGGTAATGTTTCTTTAAAAGCATTCAGGCACTCAAGCATACTTGTAGCTCTCCCACTTCCTACACTAGATGGAGCCTAGGGACCACATACTACTAGGCACTGTGTGGTGCGGAGTACTTCTGAAGGGATAAAAGACAAACTGTCTATCTACAGGGAATTCTAATAGGCGAGACAGAACATGAAAATGCCTTCACTATGAATTAGTATACTTCTGAGGAGTTAAATACCTAAGTGCTCAGGGGAATCTGCAAAGAACAATGAGATGAGAGCCAGGTGGGCTTAGTTGGAGGTGTGATTTGAAAGAGAAGGGTGTGATTAAGCAACAGGTCAGGGAATCAGTCCAGGAATAGAGTGAAGCCAAAGAGAAGACTCAGAAAGGAACAAACAAAAAGTGTGTGTGTGGATATAGGTGTGGGTAAGTATGGGTGAGGAACAATTACAAAGACCACATAGGGTGCTCAAAAAGATGACAAGAGTTAGAGGTAGGAATTAGTCATAGGGCCTGAAAGAAGCCAGTGAGAAGTTCAGATATAAGGCAAGTAGCATTTTGTAGCTACTCTAAACTTACAGTGTAATGATATCAAACTAATGTTTTTGGAAAGATGTCTCTTGGCTGTCAGATGGATTTATTAAGCACCTACTTCAATAAGGCCAGATTCTGTGGAGCCCAATATGCCATGCTAAGAAGTTGGACTTGATATCCAGACCAGAGAACTGCAGTGAAGATTTTAAAGCAAGAAAAGGGTGCATTCAGATATGTTTTATAGAAAGAGGCACTTGCTGTGTGGAGTGTTGGACTGTTAGTGAAAGAACTGGTGATAGTCTGAAATAGAAAGTTATTAACCGTATTAAGTCTGTTAGGCAAGGGAGCAGAGGTCACTGTGAGGGACATATCTAAGATTAAATCATCAAGAAGAGTATCAAAGAGAGAAATGAGTTTGGAATGATTCCAATATTAACAATTGTATAGACTAGGTGAATTATACCATTCACCAATGGAAAACTGAAGAATAAGTAGGTATTGGTGAAAAAATGAGTTTCACTTGAAACATCTTTAGTCTAAGATGCTTAATAGCCATCTGAGCACAGGTATCCCATTAGCCACTGGAAATAAGGTTGATGAGATTAGTTGTTTGTTCTGCAGAAGACTTACAGTCAATAAAATGGAATATAGAAAAATTCAAATGGAGGAGCTGGGAGTACTTACATGTGAATAAGGAATAAAGGAGACAGAGTCTAGGGTCCTAAGATCAATTATGTGACTTTTGAAATTACCAGTTAACCATATTTTACCACATATAATGTGTACCCATGTTTTTTGGCCCAGACCTTCAGTAAAAAATATTTCATTTTAATTTTTTAATTCCATTATTTATTTATTTATATTTACATACAAAACTGATTATCATATTCCAGGGTATTATTTTTGCATACAGATATCATTATTGCCTTCTAGAGTTACACTTTTAATGAATAAAAACAAAGAATTTAAAACATTTTTATAGATACAGAATTAGTACTACACATGTATAATGCATATCCTTATTTTTTCCTTAAAAATTTGGGGAAAAAGTGTACATTATATATGGTAAAATTTCAAAGAATATGTTTCTGTTCATACTATGAAAAAAAGCACTTTGCTAGGCACTGGGGGACTTGAAATATTAAACAAACTTGCTGCTAGTAACAGGGTTTGAGATGTATAATGGAAGATAGCATGTGCTTCAAACTGTGCAGCTGAGGGAAGTGGGTAATGAGAGGATCCTGCATAGTTATCTGAGTACAAAGAAGAACAATCCTGGCCTCTTTATAGTGTGTCTCTCAGATCCTGACACAGAGTAAGGCTTCAGTAAAAACTGGTGCCTTACCCTTCTCTTCTTTTTTCTCCTACCTTTTCACTAAGTTGGATAAAATAGAGAAATAGGAAACAAGAAATTGAGTCTGCGAAGGAGGGGGTCATGCACTTATGTGGCTAGTGAAAAAAAGAAGAGGTTCAACATAGCCTGAATTAAAAGTAACTTACTAACTTTGAACTAGGAGCTCTCCAGGTGTGACACTGAGTCTATAAAAAGAAGACTGAAGAGGCTATCATAGATGGGCAGTTTGTTATGTACATTATTTGACAGAGCAAGATGATAGCAGGAGAAGAAAGGTCTTACCACTCTCAAGGACCAGGAAAGCTAGAAAAAGAATGGACCAGAGATATGGAGAAGTTTCCAGTGCTAAGCTCAGAGTGTGCACTAAAAAATGTTTGCTCAATTAGGATGACAGAATGTGGGATAGAGAATATGGTAAGGACACTTTTTTGAAGTGTGTGCAGTTCCATGGAGGGAGAGGAGAAAATAGGGAATAGAAGATGTACAGCCCTGTTTATCTGGAATAGACTGTAACTCTATAAGGAACCATGGGAGGGGATTGAGGGGTGCTGAGGAGGTAAGTACAGCCTGCAGGCATATCAGGAAGCAGAATTGAGCAGTTTTTAACAAAGGTTGGCAGGAATAGACAAAACAGCAGTAAATAAACAGGCAACCCAAACTAACATTTGGGCCCCCCAAAGTAAGCAAAGCCCCAGTAATGTAACAGGTATTGTTTTCCAAACTACCTCATTTGACCTGATGCAAAGTGAACTACCTAAATAGTAACAATCTGATAATGGACCATTTTGCAAATGTTAAATGTACTGTAAAATTTCCAAGAATAATACCTAAATTTTACTCTTGAGGAGTCAGTTATGTATTATTCTTTGGATTCTTACAAATGCAATGTTTTGAAATGAAAACTCCATGGCCCATTTTCCATGTTAGCCCCCAGAAAAGTGTTTTGGGGCTGTTTTGTTGAAACCACCTGACATTTGTATCCCAGTTTCTCTGGTGGGTCAATGCATGAGTGGGGAAGGATTGGGGATATTGGCTATACTCCTAATTGCCCCCTACTTGCCTGTTACATATCCAGGCCATTCTGTGTTTGCCTTTTAGGCCAGTGGAAGATATTCACTGAAGGTGAAGCTCAGATCAGCCAGATGTGTTCAAGTCGTGTGTGCAGAACAGAGCTTGAAGATTTGGTGAAAATTCTGTACCTGGAAAGATCTGAAAAGGGCCACTGTTAGATGAGACAGACAGTATTGAATAGGGTAAAACAAGCAAACTCAAGCTGCAGCTGGAATGCAGGCATATTTTGCTTAAGTCAGCAGTGCTCTAAAACCCAAACTCAAATGCAGCTAATTATTCACGGCATGCACAGCATAACTTGCTCCTTTATGTGGAGTGGTGTGTCATCCCTTAAACATCTTCTCCAAAGAGACTAGATGAGTCTTGAATTATTTGTAGGAAGAAGAGAAATGGAACACTATAACATTGCTCTAGTTTCTAGGAGAATCACATTTCTTTATAGGTTAAAGAGTAAACAAAACCCCTGGGTTTTTATTCAGAAAGTTATTCCAATGAAAGAAAAAAAGAGAAGGGAATTTCTGCTCTCCTGCTTCTTAGCAGGAGTTCTGTAGTACAGAGAAAATGTTTGTATGAAATTATACTCTTCAAATTTTAGAATGTCTTGTATTCTTTCTTAAAAATTCTCTATCACACACACACTAGATTACAGCCTTTATTATAAGGCAAGGCAAACATAAGATTCTCCCTTTCTTTCCTTGTCCTGATTCCCAAGTAGCTTGGCAGTTGTTGGTACCCAAGAGGATAAATAAGGAACTGTGAGCAGAAGACTCTGCCCTTGGGCCTGTGAGGTTTTTGAAGTCACAAGTAAGAATATTATGCTATGGCTGCTTTCACATTGAAGTGGTAAATAACTTTTCCCTAATGATACCACTTCCCTTCTCTCCCTGAACCTACTAGGCCTCCATAAAGAAGTTAGAATTGGCTAATATTTTCAAAAACTCAATCCATATTAGATAAATAATGGTTGAACAAAGGAGTTGACAGACATCAACGAGGCCATTTTTGTGTTTTTAAGTCAGTAACAGTCACCAATTAATAGCACAATACTCACCAATTTTTTTGAGACCATGGTTCTCTAGTCCAAAAATTTATGTGAAATGATTAAACTCCATGAGCTCCTTAAAAGGGCAGTTTCTCTTCTCCAATTACAAGAGTAGATTTTTTTCTTTACCCAGGGCCTCAGTCTTCATGACCCTCTGAGTGTCCACTGTTCATTTAGGAGGATTATTGCTTATTTGGGCAGATGGGAATTCTGATACTGATCTTTATCATAAACTTTCCAGCCATTCTTATCTCACCCATCAAGCATGGATTTTAATCATAGACTGTTGGGAACTGCCCTGCCAGGTTTCAGGAGCTGTAAACCCCCATGGCTAAAGCTGAATGAGTGACCTTTGGAACATAAACCACTAAGGAGACAAAGCTTATCTCCCTGGCAGGAGCACTGCTTCTGCTCCTTTTTTTCATAACTGACCCCCAATGCTTGATCAGTTAGCCAATGACACATAAGATTTCCTAAAGGTGGAATGACCTAAGACAGACATGATCACATGGGGGCCCCAGGGAAGGACTTGGGGGGGCTATGGAGAAAGAGGGTGATAGATCCTCACCCCTCAGCTTTGACAGGCTTCTCAGGCTGAGAACTCAGCCTGAGTTCTCAGTCTGTCTGGGAGAAGTCTCCAAAGTTTCCTTGGCTGTCTGCCTCCTCTGCCTGACTTAAGCCTGAAACAATGACAGAGGGCTGTGCAGCCCTGTGCTGGAAAGGGTGGGGTCCCCAGGTGATCAGGCCGGAGAAAAGATATGTAAAATCCTGTGTAGCCTGCTTTGCTAAGAATGCTCTCAGTTAAATGATAAAGGCCTGGGCAGGAAATGAGTTTGTTTCCCAAAGTTTTATAGCCTTTTAGCTGATCGACCCTGACTCAGAAGAAGCCTTAATAGTTCTTTGTATGCTGTCTATGATTAGATCTTTACTGCCTGACAATGATTAATAAGCTGTACCTGTATTCCTGTGCAAATTAAACCAAATAAAAGCCTGTCAGGGCAAGGGTCAGCATGCTCCCCCCTTGAGGGAGTAGCAGTGCCTCCCCTTTTTCTCCACAGGACTCTGTAGTCCATGTGAATTTGTCTCATGTCTCATCCATGACACCATGGGCACTGCAGGCCAGTGCCCACGTAAATGGATCCTAGAGAAGGCTGGTCCAGAAATGCTTATTGCAGCCCAATACCAGAGCATAAATTATCCATTTTGAGATCTGGTTTTAGAAATTATTTCTGTGCGAAAACTATAAATTTTCTACCACAAGGATACCAAGCCTGCCTTTTAGATTTAACTCCTCTAAAGTATTCTAGTGAGTACTTAAAAATATTAAGGACCTGGAAATCCAAGATTTCCCACTCTATGACTAGAGGTAAAATGAACGTTTTCATAGTATTTGATAGCAATAGGTAAAAATATAAAAAAGTTCAGTCTTCTTCCAAGTGGGCATTAAAGAGTCAGTCGTGATAAAAGAGACACAGGGGTTTTATGGCCAGGCCTTCATGGGATAGCCACTCACCAGCCACTCACACACAATCTCCTCAGGAAGGGGATGTAAGACATCCAGGGCTGAAAAGCCACAGTATTTCCATAGTGTAGAAAAAAGTAACTGATCCCGCAGCAAAGTGGTGATTTCCCCTTCTTCTCAATGACTCACCCCAAAGCCTTCCTGCCCAGGTGTTCTCTGAAAGGGAACACTTGGAGAGTTTCCCTAGATAGACTCCTGCCCCCAGGTGATAAGACACCTTTCCAAAGTGCTGTGTGAAGCAGGAGCTGGGGGACTGTGCTGAGCCAACATAGAAAGTCTTCAGTGTTTGGTGTTCTATAAGGAACAGAAGATAGGAAGAAGCAGCCAAGCACCTGCAGTTAGTAGAAAGGAATGGATGTGGTTCTTCTCGTGTATTTATTTGTATCATAAACACTTGGAATAATACATACAATAAGTACCATTAAGCAATTGTAGCTATTTTATATAGTTAACTCATGTAAACAATTAACAGTAACATAACAGCATTATCCTTTCACTCTTCCCACAGGACATGTACCTAAATATGGTACTTATTTATATAATCACTGTATTTCTGGATTTTTTAATTAATAAAAAAGTGAATTTTGAAAAAATATGTGTGGTGATGGCTGTGTAAGTGATTGACTCTGGACAGTGCTGATCTTGGATAGAGTAACAGTTGATAAGTAGACCTGGCTGTTCCTCACTCAGGTTAATACCTGCCCCCAACATACACACACTACAGCATAATGGCTAAGAGAGGGAACTGTGTAGTTGGACTACCTTGGTTTTTAACCCCAGATGGGTACTTACAAGTTGTTTGTCAATTTCCCCAAATATAAAATGGGGGATAATAGTGGTGCCATTTTCCTTTGTCTACAGTCTTACAGTGCAGTTTAATTTATTCAATGTATATAAAGTGATTAGAATAGTGTCTGGTGTACAGTGAGCATTCATTTATGGCCATGGATATTCAAGAATGGCATGTCACTGAAAATGGTCATTGATTTCTGGCTTCCCTTCAGGCCAAGACATTTAAGAGATTGGGGACAGAATGCCATTGACTAGGATTTCAAGAGGGCTTCAATCTTGGTTTGCTTCTCAGTGGTAGATTTGTATAAGAAGCAGGGTAAGAGTTTTGTCACATACATCCAAACTCTATTCCCTCAAACCCCTAATGCCAACTAGATTTGTGCTATAACAGAAGCCAAGATATAAGAGAGCTGTAATGTCAAATAACATAAGGACAATAAAGTATGCATAGGTGTTAGCAACACAAGTCATTGGTGGTGAAATGCTGGGGGAGTGATAGAAGCACAGGCCAGAAGGGAGTAGGGAGATGAGGAATTGGAGGCAGCAGTTAGAGACAACTCTTTGGAGAATCTTAGTTACAGAGAGTGGAGAAAAAGGGTGAGGAAGTAACTGGAGAAGGATAAGATAGACAAAAAAACTGTACTTGAAAAATAACTAAATAAAATTAAAATAAATTTAAAAAAAAAAAAAGAAAGTTTTTTGCCTTCAGTATAGGAGCTATTTGGCCATGTCCGATGCTGAAGGAAGGGGTCCTATGGAAAGAAAAAGACTGAAATTATTGGGAAAAGGAGGGTTATCCTATTGTGTGAGATTCATGAGAAGTTATGCCCCTATTCTGAGCCCTAAAACTCACAATTCTTGACCCAAAACCTGGACAGACTTTTGGCTTTTGCCAACCCCTTATTGTGATTTAGCTGAACCTTGTTCCCCTCAATTCTATTAGCTTGGTCCTTTTAACATCTAACATACTGTCTACAGGAATGGTAGACTATAAATTTTAATATTACGCCTACTTCATTTGGGGAGTCACACATAACTCAAACCAGACACCTTGGCTCTATCGGCCATCTTCCCATTCCCTGATCACTCAAATCCAGATTGTACCAAGTCCTATAAATGTACTCTCCTACTAATCAGCACTGGAGTTTTGATCTGCTCCATTTCTGATCTAGGCTGGTTCACCCCTCCTTACTTACAAACTAGTCAAAGGGATGTAAAGCATAGGAAATACAGTCAATAATATTTTAACAGCTATGTATAGTGCCAGGTAGATACTTGAATATTAGAATATCACTACATAGAGTAAGTGTATGATTGCTTACCACTATGCTATGCACATGAAACTAATATAAAATAATATTGAATATAAACTGTAATTGAAATATTACACTGGCTGGTGTGGCTCAGTGGATTGAGTGCTAGCCTGTGAACCAAAAGGTCACCTCTTCGATTCCTAGTCAGGGCACGTGATTGTGTTGTGGGCCTGGTCCCCAATAGGGGGCGTACAAGAGGCAACTACATATTGATGCTTCTTTCCTTTTATTTCTCCCTCCCTTCCCCTCTCTCTAAAAATAAATAAATAAATAAATATTTTAAAAGAAAATTTGTAAATGCTCTTTTAAATATAAGGCCATGTTTATTGACCTTTGCTCATATCTCCTCTTGCAGGATCTTTTTCTCTCTGTAGTCTTTCCACTCCCATCCCAGTAATTCCCAGGAAGCCCCAAAGATCATTTCACATGGGCTCAAGGACAATTTCTGCTATCACATGTTACCCAGCCTTTTACTCTTTTCTTGATTTAGCCCTCCTCTGTGATAGGTGCTGCTAGAAAAAATTATTACCCACTGCCTCCATCACCACACATCTCCTGGTATTCACCACCACTGCCAGCTATGATATTGATGGTGGGTGCTCCTTTTGTGGGCCTAGAGGCGTGACCATAATGGTAGTATGATGTAATCCTCAACGTTCCCCAGTGGCTCTGTGTCCTACGCACAAGTAGAGAGAATGTCCTTCTCCCTCCTCATCTATAATGTTATATATGGCCACTGTATGTTAAACCAGTTAACACGTAGTTCTTGGGTGTGTGTTAGGTGGACCAAAACAGGGTCTCCTGTTACCTCAGACTTTCCTGGGTTTTTTTTTCATGGAAACAGGTCCTTCATGTCCTCCATTCAGTCTTCCTCTCAGAGCTCAGTTGTCAGTATGTAAAAACTGTGTTAAGTGTAAGCCTCCAAGACAAACACAAGACTGTCTTCCTAATTCCTTTCCCCTTTGGTGCATATGTACTGCTCCCATTCCCCACCAAATTTCTCATGCAAAGTGGCTTCAGGAGGCCCATTCCACCAATCTGGCAAACAAGCTCAAGGCCTCTGAAACCTCCATGTGGGAGAAGTGAACCCTTGAAAACAGAGGTCCAGGCATAGCATATAGTTTCTGAAATACAAAGGTGGGCAAAAGTAGGTTTACAGTTAATACAGAGATTAATATAATAATAACGCAAGAATCAACTCGGTCTCGTGTACTCAAATTTGTAAATCTACTTTTGCCCACCTCTGTATTTAATACACATTGACAACTTCTGTTTTTATATATGCTTTTCTCACCATTAAAATGTCTTTCCCTCTTCTTTGCCTGAGAAACTCCTTTTCATACTTCAAAACCCAGTCAACATGTCTTCTTGTCTGTGGAGCCTTACTGATCCTATCCTAGTTTGCCACAATTTTCCCTTTCTCCCTAGGTACTGTATCCTCCAACCATGCCAACTCCATCCTCATGGAACTTACCATGTCCTTAGTACTTCTGTGCCTTTGAACACAGCTCCCTTTGCCTGGAATATTCACCCCCTGATATCTCTACTTAATGAACACCTACTAGTCTTTGAAATTTAAGACCTCATCCACCTCTTTCATACACAGTTAGTTTTTTCCCCCTCATGCCTGTACTCCTAGGAAATAACAATCAAACATTTACCCTGTGCCAGTCATTGTAGTAATCAATAGACATGCATGTTTTCTCAGTTAATCCTCACCACAGCCCTGTATGATAGGTGCCATTATTGAACCTATTTTAGAGATGAGGACCTTGAGAGCATTCACCTTTACTCATGATTATATATAAAAATATGAAGTAAGCCATAGTTTCTCTGATTAGACTGGAGAGCTACAAGACAGCAGGGACCCAGTGCCCAGCACTGCTAGAAAATTCAATAAATATTTGCTAAATGAGTAGTTAATCTGATAAGATTTTTTTCCCCAATGTGAAAGAAAGCAGGACAGAGATTACTTAAATACCCAAGGCCAGGATATTTTCCTTCAGGACATTTTCTGTCTGCCCCACTCTAAGAAAAATTAATAAATCCAGATTAACAAATCCAAATGAAAAAGTGTTTGCATTGTAAAATACTTTGCCATAAGATATCTTATAAAATAACTAAGAAATATTGGTTTTTTTAGAGCTTAAATCAAAAAGTCCCTGCATTTATGGTATAGGCCTCACAACTGTGAAGGATTCTTGCTAAGAACTCAATATTGTGCATAAGTAGTATCTATATTTCTACATATACTATCTATATATTCTAATGCAATATTTAGAATAGTTATAGTACACATTATAATACTTTTTATCTATCTCTGTATATAAAGAATTAGACTCCAACGTGATAGGTACAACACCTTCACAAAATGGACAATAGAAGAGAAGAGATTCGAGGCCTAGATTCAAGGTAATGTAGATGAGAGGAGTTATGACTTGCTTTCAGGTATAAGCAGTCTCTAATCTGGAAATGAAGTATTGACCAAATAGTTAAATTCCAGCATGCATTTTCTTATAGAAATATTATTCTGTTTGATGCTCAGATTCCCAGACCACTCCACACAAGCTTCTTGAACCCTGAGCAGAACCAAGTTATATATAGTGCTAATCAGTGACTGCTTAAACTCGGACCTGGGGGTCAGGGCAGAGTGTGAGGAGAGAGGAGTGAGCAGGGACTTTCACTTTTCTGGATGGGATGGGTAAGAGGTCATAAGGAGTGGGCTCTAAGCAAAATGTCAGACAAAGTTTGAACTTGACAGTTGCCTCTCTCTTTCATTGCTGCACTATCTTGGTTCTCAGCCCTATCATTCCACCCTTCGCATCCAGCTGTCACAGACCCCAGGCCTGCCTTGCTTCACAAAGAAACTTAGGCCCTGCCTTAAGTGACCTCAACAATCAGAAACTGAATTCCTTTGGGGAATCTATCTAGGATTTAGAAGGAAGCAAGATTAATGAAGTAAATAAGAGTTGCTTAACCCTCAGGTACCTTTTCACATTTAAATATTATATTACTCTATTACCCTCAAAATGAGTTTCCTAATTATAAAATTACAGGCACAGCTAGAGTGAGTGAAAACCTTCTGGGAATGAAGACAATAGGATGGAATTGTGCATTGTTGTTGGGGGTATGGTGGTGAGGTTGGGGGTAGTAAGTGGCACCAAGTAGGCAAGCCACACTTACATTTCCTTCCTGAGTATCTGCAGTCCCTACCTCCACAACCTGTAAACAGCCAGTAGTAATGCAACTCCTGCTTTTCCAGCTTTCTCCTTTTGCTTCTGAACCTGGTACATCTCTAAAATGCACAGGTTTGGTGTGTTTATAGTGGAAAATAGTAGCTCCCTTCTCAGAAAAGGCCCTGGTGCAAAAGAGGATTACTTGCCTACTAGTGTTGAGAGCTGTCTATGTGGCTGTCTTGACTCTCCATGTTGTTCATCTGCACTCAC